GCCGCGGCAGCAGCAGCGGCAGCAGCAGCGGCAGCAGCAGCAGCAGCAGCAGCGGCGGCGGTGGCGGGAGGGGTGCGGAGGCTTCTTTGTTTTAAGTGCTTTGTTTCGTTTTTAATTTGGATTTAAAATAAATGTATTTTTGAAACGAAATCCTCAGCTCGACCTACTCGCCAAACCCCGCAGCAGCAGCAGCAGCAGCAGCAGCAGCAGCAGCAGCAAGAACAGCAGCAGCAGATTTTCGAGCTTTTGCATACCCGTATCTCTACCTTATCCGCCATTTGAAATGGCAATGCGCGGAACCGCAGGCCATACTCCAAACCCCAAACCCTAAACCCTACACCCTAAACCCTAACCCGAAACCCTAAACATTGGGTCTCTTTGCTAAACCCCCATCTTTGTTCTAGTTTTGGCATTTTTATTCGAATTTTCAGCATTTATCCCTCGGGGTAACTTGGAAGAACTTCACTTTCGAATTAAATTCAATTTCCGCATCCAGCTGGGGTGTATGTTACTACACCCCAGCTGCATGCAGCTGCTTTGGGGCTTTGCTGCTGCTGCTGCTCCGAGCAGCAGCAGCAGCAGCAGCAGCACTAAAAAGTAAAAGAATTAAATTAAATTAAATTAAATTTGCAGTTCTTTCAGGACTCAGAGATCTTCAGGTCTACGTACACCTCAAAGCAGCAGCAGCAGCAGTACCAGGGGCCCCTTTCTTTCTATTTTCTGCTGCAGCCAGCCTAAACCCTAAACCCTAAACCCTAGCCCGATTATCTAAGAGGTCTCCGTGCTGCTGCGCAGCGGCGCCGGGGTGGGCCTGCGCCCCTGCGCCGAGCCCCAAACCCTAAACCCTAAACCCTAAACCCTAAACCCTAAACCCTCGAAGATGAAGAGGAGCCGCAGGCGTACAGACACCCCGTTTGGGGAGGGACAGTCTCCTTTTGATGCCGAGTCTCTTTACAGAGACGCCAGCGACAAAAAGGTATAAACCCTAAACCCTAAACCCTAAACCCTAAACCCTAGTTTGAAGGTCTATCCAGTCCCGAAGCCTGTTTTTTCGAGGTTTCCGCGAAACCCTAATTTAGGGTTTAGGGGCCGTGTGCGGCTGCTGCCTCTGGGGCCCTCTCACCCCAACTTTGTCCCTTTTTGTCCCTTTTTTTCCCTTTTTCTTTTTTTTCCTTTTAATAATCCCTTATCTTGTTTTATTTTATTTTATTTAATCCTTTTTATTTTCTCTTTCATATTCTTTAATCCCCTTAAATCCCAATTACCCCCCTTGAGTCCCTTTTTGTCTCTTCAAACTTTTTTTGATTTC